GGAACTTCAGTGTCAGACCCAGGTCTCCAGGGCACAGCTTCTATTGCATCGCGTGCACACATTAAACACTGGCTGTTTTCCACCTGGGAAACACCGCTGAAGTCCTCTTTCCCAAGCTTTGTAGCTGTGCTGTTGTGGCTGCCTCCATGTCCTGGATTGATTCAAAATGTTTGCCTTTCCTAGTCACTTTCTGGGGAAGAGTCAGAAGTCACCAGGTGCCAGATCTGGTGAATAAAATGGATGAGGACACACTGCGATGTTTCCAATCCTGCCTTTCCTTTGAATGGCATTAGGCAGCAGCAGTCACTGTATTTTTTAACACAACTTGTTAAGACACCCACGAAAGAGAACTTGCAGAACTGCTTCAGAAAGTGATGAGCATGGTGGGATGAGTGTGTTCAAAGTGAGGGGAAGATTTTGAGGCGGGTTAATAGCAATGTGTCTTACTGTAATAATTTTTTAAAAAACTTAAACATTGTATATTTTGATTACCATATACAGACATACAAAAACTCATGAATTATACCCTCACCCCTGCGAGGCAGGCTGATACCAGTTCTGCTCTAGCTGGTGTTTAAAGAACTTGCACCTCACTCACTAACAGATTCTGAGACCCACTGCTGGTCTTGTTGTGCATGTGGAAAGCTCTGCCTGAGCACAGGCCAGCAGGGCAGCTCCTGGTCATGGCTCAGCGTAGGTCCAGTGTGGGTGGCCGGTGCCTTATGCGGCTCCCCTCAGGGAAGGTCAGATTCCCCAGGGCTCCCATGGCGGTCAGGCCTTTCCCGGGGCTGGCTTTCCACGTGTAGGTCTAGAAATGGTTAGAAGCCTCCCAGTCATGAATGGCTCACACCACACCCTGGGCATAAACCCCAGCGATCTGGCTTAGCCCCTCGGCCCGAGCCACGCCCATCCACACCCTTTCTCCAGGGAAGTCGACCCAGAAAGCCAGCTGTCCTCAGAAGGTGCCCCTGGCACAGCCCTGGTGTGAGGGGTAACTAGGAGCCCGAGGCACCTGCCCCACACCTGGGTGTCCTAGGCACCGCTTCAGGATCCTCCCAGAGGGCCTCAAAGCCTCTCCTTGTCCTCCCGCCCTGCTCACTGCTGGATCTCTTGTCTGCTTCCCTTCCGGGTCTGAGCCATGGAAGCCTCTCAGGTCAAGTTTGTGGAGGTGGAAGGGGGTCACCATGGCTGAGCTCGTGTGTTGGAAACTTAGTCCTCAAATCCATATGTTAAGGTGTTTGGAGGATTATATTAGCTGCCACCAGGAGAAGAAGGAGCCCACAGTGCATGAGTGGCTTTGTAAGAAGAGGAAGAGAAACGCCACTCGAGGCTGCTCTGCCTCACCACGTGTTGTATGCAGTAAGAGGCCCTCACTGGACTCTGGGGAGACCCTAGTGCTGTGCTTCTGGACTTTCCAGCCTCCAGAACTGTGAGCCAAATAAACTTCCATTCTTTATAAATTACCTGGTCTCAGGTATTTTGTGATAGCAACAGAAAGCAGACTAAGCCCGGGACAGCTGCGTTTGGCACAGCCTCCCCTGCCTGCCCCGTGTGTATCTGGGGGAGCAGGAGCTCCCTCTGCCTCACCTTCCAGCCGTCCAGAGGCCTTTGCCCAGGGTCCCGCCAATCAGCCACCACCTCAGTGGGCATGTATTGATGTACTGAGTGCTTTGCACCGTGCTAGTGTCTTCAGTACTTTCTCATATCCAACACCTACAACTAGTGGGAGCAGAGGTTTATTTTGGCTTATGTTTGTAGAGGTTTCAGTCTGTAGTCCGTTGGCTCCAAGGCAGGACAGCATGGAAGAGGGCCCTGGCAGGGGAACAGCTGCTCGAATCAAGGTATCCAGGAAGCAGAGGGTGTTGAGCAAGGAGCCGGAGGGAGGTAGAACCTTTCCTGGGCACACACAGGGAGCCGCCTCTTCTGTCCAGGCCCCTCCTCCAACAGCAAGTCAGCTATAAGACCCATGATACAATCAACTTCCAAAAGCCTCGCCTATGTGCTCTTGTGGACATCTAGATATAAACCATAGCAACTAGGTACCATGTAAACACTTGATTGGCGCTTTTGCCTTTCTTCCCCAGAGCAATCTGTTGAGGTGGTGTTACTTCCCCTCTGTTGTGCACAAGGAGGCAGAGGCTTGGAGAACTCAAGTGGCTTGGCCCTCGCAGAGCCAGCCGAGTGCTAGGCAACTCTAGAAACCATCTATGAAATACAAGGTGATCAAGGTACATGGTGGAGGTTTCAATTTCAAAAATGTATCATGGGAAAAGATACACTGCCATTAATTCCCCTTGAACACACTCAGCCCACTGTTCTGGCCACTTTCTGGAGCAGTTCTAGAGTCCTCTTTCCTAAGCGTCTTCATGAGATGTGAAAACTGCTGATGAGTGCCCTCCGACAGAAAGGCAATTAGGGTGTGCCTCCCCTCACTTAGCCACTGCATCTGGCACCCTGCAAAGTCTGTCTTTCCCCAAGGTCAAAATGACCGTGGAAGGTAAATGTTTTGAATGGATTCAGGACCTGGAGGCAGTTGCAGCAGTGTAACTAAAGATACTCAGGAAAGAGGTCTCAGCAGTGCCTGGTAGTTGCCACTCCATGGGGCAGGGCAGAGTCCTCATGGGTGACTTCGCTGCCCACCTGCAGGCTGCTGGTGGTCCTCAGGCCGGGGTGTCTGCCACCTGGGCTTGTTGAAAGACTCGGACAGGGGACCATCCTCTTGGGGAAGAGGGGTGGCAGGTGTGAGTCTCAGACCCTAGGAAAATGGCTCTGGGACTCGGCAGACCATGGCAGGGTGACTCAGCTGCCCACTGACACATGAACTTGGGCCTCACAGTACCGTCCTTCCTTTTTTTCCCTCTGGAACAATAACAAATACTGGCTCTGTGATTTGATTGTCATAGCAACTAGAAAACATTTGATAGCGTGAGTCTGTAGGGCAGGTGGGCCGAGCAGGTGTGGATGTAAACAGCCCTTTCCTGCCCCTTCACGCAGAGTCCCACACGTCTCATCCATTTGGAGCACTTTAGGGAAACAGGCACCTGGAGCCCTGTCGCTGCCGGAACTGACTGATCTCTAAACCAGGAAGTCTGGGCCGGTGCTGTCAAGCCCGAATTCCCACTGCAAAGAAACGTGGGAGATGCTGAGTGGCCTGTTGCGTGTTCACCTCGAGCCTGCACGGATCCCGTCCTGGGCACTGTGGGGAACAAGGAGGACTCGGCCACTGGTTCCCATGTTCAGCAAGCTCCCAGGAGGCCAAGCATGCAGCCTCCGCCCCCGGTCTTTCTGGTCTCAGCCAAATTCCAACAAGGGACACCACCAGAGGGGGCTCTGGGAGGGGACAGGGCTCAGTGGGGTGATGTAAATTAACTGACAAGGAACAGTTACATATGCTGATGGGGAGCAACGCGACCTCTCAGAACCTGATACCTCCCAGAATGATCCACAGGGCAGCTTGACGTCCACGCCCGGCCTCCCCGAGGATTGAACAGGTGTGATCCCAACTCAGCCCTCCCCATGGGCTCCAAATGCCTCCTCTTCCATGCTGGGCCCTGTCCCATTCGGACCTGGCTGCTGACCTCTCTGCCTGCGTGTGAGCCCCCAGGGACCTCCCCAAAAGGCCCCAGCCCACCCCCAGCATGGCTGGCACCCATGGGCCCTCCATAGGACACAGCTTCCTGTCCCTGTCCCCCAGCACCTGGGCCGGCCGGGATGCCCTCTACACCTGTACTGGCCCTGTGCTGGCCCTGTGCTGGCCGCAGCGAGGGACCCCAGGTGCTGCAGAAACCCTGCACCGCCCCCCCCCGCCCCGCTGCACCCTGAGGGCCAAGGAGGGAGGCCCTCACCTTTCTCTGCCGCCTCCTCGGAGAGCCAGGGCTGGTGCTGTCTGCCCGCCACCAGGTCCTGTGACCCCTCCTCCCCCAGGCTGGGCCTGCACCGCCAGCTGAGTTGGCGCTGGCTTTGGAGATTTGCTGCTGCCAGCTGACTGCCAGGGACCCTGCAGACTGCTCCTCTGTGACAGCTTCCTTTACAGGAGGCCACACGGGGCCTTGCTCCAGGCCAGGCACCCGTGACCCCCACGTGCCAGTTCCAGGGCCTCCTGGGCTTAGGCTGGGCTCCCTGAGCGTGTGCAGTACCTGGGGCTCCTCTTCCTCTGTCACCTTGGCTTCTGCACTGTGCTCTGGCAGATCCGGGACCTCCTCTCTCCCCTCTGCACCCGACTCCCAGCCCAGCCCCTGGTGCCAGTGCAGTGCTGCCATGGCACCGAGAGCTGTCCTGGACAAAGTGACACCCACGGGGTGCCCGAGGGCGGCCAGGGGTTGGCTGTGTAGAGAGAAGCCAGAGAGAAGGTGGTGCTGGGGGAATGGCCTCAGGTCAGCATGAGGGAAGGGGCGGAGGAGACCCCCACAGGCACCATCCTGGGGGATCCTCGAAGGGAAGGGAATGATGCTCAGGTATGGAACAGCTGCTGCTGGAGAGACTCATTTCTACTCCTGGGATGGGGCAGATTCACAAGAAGGGGACTTGGCTTCGATCCTCCGGCCTCAGCCTCCCGGAGTGTTGGGAGTGCGCGTATGTGCAACCTGCCCCGCTCTCCATGAGGAGGTGAAGAAGAGACTTCCAGAGCACTGCTCAAGGCCACAGCAAGCAAGCGGGGCGACTGCACAGGAGCTGGGTCCTTCCTTCCCTGCCTGGTGCCGGGGCTGGGGGCGGGGGTGTCAGTGGGTAAGGGGACTTGGGCTGCAAGGAGCAGGAAGTTGGTTCAACTTGGGCCCAAGGGAGCTTGGGTGGTGAGAACCTGGGGCAGGAGAGGGCAACCAGAGAACCTTAGAACTTGGATCCAGCAGAGAGGACTGTGGAATAAGCACCCCCCAAACTGTTGAGCCCGGTATGGCATCCTGGGCAGTTATACAGAACAAAGCCCGGTATGGCATGCTGGGCCGTTATACAGAACAAAGATTTGTACTAACAGTATTTGTGAGCATTAACTCTCTGCTGGGTACTTTGCTAAGTGATTCAGTTGTGATTTTTCATTTAATTCTTGTGGACTGGGTGAAGTTCGTGTAGTTGTTTCCAGTTTACAGATAAGGTATTAACAACAACAGCAACATACTTTAGACAAAATAAACTCAACAGAGTTAATTTGAGGGCAGAATGATTCAGGTATCAGGCAGCACCCAGAATCAGAAGAGGTCCAGGGCTGGGCTATAGCAGCCAAGCTAGGGAGCAGAAGAGAGAAAACCCTGCATGAGCTCCTGAGTGGAACTTTGCCTTACTGGGTCTGATCTGTGGACAGTCCCCGAGTAGAGGTGGCTTGGTGGTTTCCGATTGCTTCCACCTCTGGTTTTGATTGTTTACATCTGGGTGCTGTCTGACTCTGAGGAGCTGAAAGGCTGGGGCCATCTTAGCTTCATGGCCTCTCCATTAAAAGCATTTTTTAGAGCTGGACAGGGTGATACACACCTGTATTCCCAGCGCTGGGGAGGCTGAGGCAGGAGGAATGCCATGAATTCAAGGCCAGCCTGGAATGCATAGCAAGACCCTGTGAAAAAAACAAACCAAAAATGAAGGCACAGAAAATTCTTACTGACATTTCTCTCCAGATCTCTCCCTAGTTTGTAGCATTTGTATTTCCAAGGTGGAAATTTCCCCCCATTGTGCATCTCCAGTGCAGAGTGCCTCTGGCCCCTTGGGGGGACTGTGGATTCCAGCAGAGGTCCTCAGGGTCCCTGAGCCAGCCTCAGGAGCCTCCCAGGAGAGCGTGCTGTCTCCGACCCTGCCCCAGAGCTAGGAGCTGAGGAGCCCAGGGCACCTAGGGGAGCTGCAATCTGGGTTCTCTGCAGGCAATTCTTTGATTCCGGACACTCTGTGCTTGAGTGCCTCCTCTGCACCCAGGACAGTGGGTCCACCTCCATCTCCTGGCAGAGGGGCACTGGGCAGGCAGATGTGAGATGACAGCAGACCTGAGGGACCAGAGGGGTGGGGGTGAGACCCCAAAACAGCACACACTGCTAGTTAAGGAAGAAACAGAGACTTTGGTACACAGCACATTTGTCATCCTCTGTTAGGTCGCAGACCCAAAGCGACCCTCAGAGCACAGTGACAGCTTAAAGTCACAGGAGCAGTCCTGACACCTGGCTGTCTAACTCCAGGACAAGGCACAGCGCATTCCTGACTGCCAGACCCCACAGCCCAGTGATACAGGAAAGGAAATGTTCTCCAAAGACCACCTGCCCTGGGCTGGGCCCTGGTGTAAATGGTAAACTTAGCTTTCTTGAATTTCTTTCCTAAGCTCCTCACAGGATCAAAGCCCTTGAGGAAACACTGCCATCTAAAAAGGACAGGAAGACATTCTCCAATTCCCAAGTAACTTTTAAGTACACTGCTGATAAGCATCATAATTCCTCTAGTTTCCTGAGCCCTAGGAATAGCTAGCTTTTCAGTGCATAAAAACGTGCCCGAACTGCCGGCCTTCGACTCTGTATCTTCTTTACAATGAATTTGACCTGTACTTCTGCACAGCGGCCTGTGTGTCTTGACTGAATTTCATCAGGGCACAAAGAATGAAGGACCAAGAGGTGAGGGACCTGTTCCTTGTACATCAAGACTCGGCTTCCCGGTGACAAAGGGCGCCATGCGGGTGGGCGAGGGAGCCAATGAAGTCAGCTCTGGATCCCCGGGGAGGTCCCCCTGCCAGCCTTGGTCTCTTCTTCCCTCAGGCAGCCCTGGTGCTGGGCAGGCCGGACACAGTGAGCTGTGAGCGGAGACAGGAGCACACACAGGCCTGGGACTCAGTAGCTGGGGCCATCGAGGCGGATCTAGAGAGCTTCGGAAGCTGAGGTCTGTCCCAAGACATCAGGGTCTCGGGCCGGCAGAGCTGGGGAAGTCCAGGGCCCAGCCAAGGCAGCTCCCTGTAGGAAATGTTTGCTGCCTGGCTGTCTGATTTTGTCTCTGGCCCCCAGTGCAGGTTGACAATTAAACAAAGACAAACAAATTAAGAGTCATGCATGGGAGATGATGCAACTTCCTGCTGGTCCCAAGAGGCCATGAAATACCTGGGCAGTCTGAGTGGAGATGATGTCACCAAGAGAAATGCTCGGTCACAGGGCCAACTGAGGTCATATGACCCAGCCCGAGGGCTCTGATGTCGTGGGTGGGGTTCCCCTCTGAGCTCAGGGTTTCTGCCCAGAGAACCCAAACACAAACAGAAACTGTCCTGTCACCATGAAATTCACCATTCATGGGACAGTTTATCTCCTCAAGGTTTTAGTCTCAGGAAAAATCCAGAGCAAGCTTACTGAGCAGAATCAGGCCTCCCAGGATGGGGCCTGCTTGGTGCTCCACAGGAAGTTGCTGGCACTTGTGTGACCTCAAGTGAGTTGTTCACACTCTCTGAGCCTCAGTCTACCCATTTGTAAAATGGAGATCAAAATTCCCAACTCACAGGGCTGTTGTGGAAGTAAAATCATACTTGCAAAACAGCCCTGCATGTGGTAGGTGCTTAAGAAATCCTGACAGTCCCTTGAGTTCCTTTTTGGGCTGAGAATCGTTTCTATCTGGCTTCCATCCTCAGAGCAGACAGAGTGATAACTGGAAAGTTGTAGAGGAAGGAAGGCCCAAGAGAGCAGGGAAAATTCACACTGAAATCCTGCTGGAGAGGAAATAGCAAGGGGAGAAAAGATTCGCAATCATATTGTGTACAGCACCAGCTTCCCCTGCATCTTGTCTCTGTGACTCCATGTGGGGTACAAGTGTTAAAACAGACTGACTCAGCCTCTTGTTTGTATGAGTAAACAAGGCACAGGCTGTAAATGATTTATTTGTGCGAATAAAAATTTCCAAGGTGGTGTGGTGGTGTCCACCTATAATCCCAGCACAGAGAGAGGCTGATGCAGGAGGATTTCAAGTTCAAGTCCTGCCTGGGAAATTTAGCCAAGACCATGAACCTTACTTAGCACTTGTACCCAAGATGGTGTCACTCAGGACAAGACATGGCCAGGACCCTGCTGCCCTAAACAAAGCACTTGGGACCACACAGCTGGGCAGCCACAGCCCCTCATTTCCAGTGACCTCCAGGGCCGCTGTTGCCTTCTAGGACAGCAGAGCGGACAATGTTAATAATAAACTCCGTTCAACAGCTGCTGAGAATCCAGGGCTGGGCATAGTGATTTAAGAAACATGTTCGCCCAAAACACTTGCTTAAAATATGTCCGGATGGTAAGCATTTAGGTGTCCAAAAACACAAGATAACTGATTTTCCTGTGTATAGCCTAGATTTCAGTGAATGATACCCTTACTTACCAGACAAAAAGAGCCGTAACGAATGAAGTCAGAGTGCTGTGTTTGTTCAGCGCTTGCTAGTACCCGGATGTCTACACACGCCCTCACCCTCACGGGCAGGTTTGATGACGTGGGGGCTCAACTGTGGAAGCTGGGAGTCAGAGCGGGTAGGTGTCTGTCTCCTCGGTTCGTTCAGCTCCTTCTGTTAGAATTCCACCCCGGCGGCTCTGCGTGCAGTCCCAGCCCCTGCCAGAGGGGGCGCTGTCCGTGGCGGCTGCGCGGGCCTGGCTGGGTCTCCAAGTCTGCGTGAAGCACGAGGCTCCAGGCACCCCTGGCTTGGGGCGATCCGCCTGCTCCCTGCCCAACCCTCCCACCCCCTGCCTTGCCCGCCCTGGGGTCCCCAACAAAAGGTTCTCAACCTCAAAAACGTCTCCTCCAGTTTTCTGCTTGATTTTTTATAGGGATGGGGTACAGAGCACATTAAATTCTTTTGGGAATGAACCCCTAAGTCAATAAAGGGGTCTCTACCTTCCCAAACCCCGCTTTGAGCAGCTGTGAGAGGCCTGTGGCCCTGAGAGTGCGGGTTCCTCTGGGAAGTCCAAGGCACTGGACCCCGACACTGCGGCTGGCTCTGGGGACGTAGACTTCGGATAACATCGCCTTCGTATTTTTGGAGTCCTCAACCCAAGTTAAGCTTGTTTTGAAATTTAAAAAGAGAAAGAATGAAGCAGGATGTGATGACCCATGTGAGGGACCTCACAGTGGACAGACGTGGCAGACACCAGCTTCGTCAGGTGGCCGATGACCATGACCGCAGAGAGAAAGGCCCCACTCAGACCTCGGTGCCGGCGGAGTGCCTGCCCGTCCCAGACAGAAGGACGCCTGCCTCGTTCTCTGAAACACGAAGGTGACGGGGGAGTGAGAGGAGAATCATCTCAGAGGACAGAAGACGAAGGGGAAGGGGTGGCCGCGTCTCTGTGTGACCCCGGATGACTCCCAGACTGGACCTCCCTTCATTCTCAGGCTTGTCTCCCTCAGGCTCTGAGTTCTAGGACAGGGACAATCTTCTTAATCTTTCTTCCAGCCGCATCTTGGAAACCTATTCTCATGGACGCTGGCTCTTAGAGAAGAGCCCCTGCTTGAATCTCTTCATGATCTCACTGTGAAAAAGCATTCGACCCAAATCCAGGGCTCCTCGCTGTCCCTCTTGCCCCCAGGCAGGTCTCTCCAGGAGGCCTCTCCAAGTGATCTCCATCTGTTTCCTGTCACTCTAACAGATCACCCGAGGCTGGGTGATTTATGAGGAAAAGAGGTTTACTCGGTGCCGGGCTGCAGCCCCGGACCCTCCCTCTCATCTGCAGAGAGGCCAGGCTTGTTTCCCACTCTGCCTGGGCCCCAGTAGCTCCCCAAAGCCTGCCGCCTTTGCCAGTGTTCAGCTCTTGGTCCAGAGCTCCCTGCTCATACAGACCTTCCCTGATCTCTTAGCTAAAGCAACCCACCAACATTCTCTGTCCCTGTGTGAGCTCGCTGGGGCTTCCCTAACAAAGCACCACAAAATGAGCTATTTACAAACACAAATCTGAAGCCAGCCGTGGTAGTGCACACCTGTAATCCCAGCACTTGGGAGGCTGAGGCAGGAGGATCACTGCCACTGCCAGCCAGAACTATACAACAAGACCCTGTCTCAAAAATGACTCCCAGCGTCTCAGAGCCCGGAAGTGCTTGCACCAGGCACGCACTCGGCACACACTTGCTGACTACACAGAGGGCACAGGTGGCTTGGACTGCCTGGCCTCCTGACACTGCAGCAAGGTCCCTGTTTGACGCTGCCCTCAAATGATGAGGTGTGAGGCTTCTCCCCTCACTGCCTCAGTGTCTCCAGCTATAAAATGAGGGTGATAATAAAAGTCCCTCCCCCATCATAGAGGTGTGGCACAAAGTGAGATCGCACCTGAGGATGGAATCCCCACTCTGTGGGAAATGCCCCATGCTCACCAGGCCTGGCCTGAGGCCTGAGGCAGTTCCTGGTAACCAAAGACCTCTGAGGTCAGGGAGCCCAACAGGGATGCAGGGGCTCCAGCCCTCAGCTCAGAATCCCTCTTCCAAGACCCAGTCAAGAGAGAATATGGAATAAAAGATTTTAAGAACAGAAAAAAAAATTTATAAAAGATTTTAAGAAGAACAACAAAAAATTTATAAAAGATTTTAAGAACAAAAAAAAAAAGAAGAAGAAGAGAGAGAGAGAACATGGAGATTGTCACC